TAACAAAGACCATCGCTACTAGGAGCAAGGACGCTACTAGTGGCTCCTGGCCTTACTACTGGTAACAAGAAGCTACTAGTAACAAAGGGCATCGCAAATAGGAGCAAGGACGCTACTAGTAGCTCCTGGCCTTACTACTGGTAACAAGAAGCTACTAGTAACAAAGGGCATTGCTACTAGGAGCAAGGACGCTACTAGTAGCTCCTGGCCTTACTACTAGTAACAAGAAGCTACGGACGTAACAAAGGGCATCGCTACTAGGAGCAAGGACGCTACTAGTAACTCCTGGCCTTACTACTGGTAACAAGAAGCTACTATATAGTAACAAAGGGCATCGCTACTAGGAGCAAGGACGCTACTAGTAGCTCCTGGCCTTACTACTGGTAACAAGAAGCTACTAGTAAAGGGCATTGCAAATAGGAGCAAGGACGCTACTAGTAGCTCCTGGCCTTACTACTAGTAACAAGAAGCTACGAACGTAACAAAGGGCATCGCTACGAACGGAGCAAGGATGCTACGAACATAGGTCCTGGCCTTACTACTGGTAACAAGAAGCTACTAGTAACAAGGGGCATCGACTTGAATGAACAATTGCCCGACGGATGAAACTTGGCATACTACTTTTTCTGAGGCCCGCAGACTGTTCAAAGCTTCATTATAGTGGTTTGGCCTACCCTTTTGCTGCATAGCATTGCATAGCATGGCATAGCATAGCAGCATAGGCTTAATTGTGCACTATGTTATATCTATTTTTTGCATAATATTAAGCTTGGGTTGGTGTAACATGATGTGCTTAGGTTTGCCGGGTTGGCCTCTGGAACTCTTCGCGCGGGCCGCAGAATCCCAAGTTCCCCAGCCACAGTCACCTTCTGCACACTCCTTGGAAGGGCGTGGGAGGGCCGGAATCTCACCAGTGGCTCAGGATTTCAGATGTAGTTGAGAAAAACTCATAGATTCTTTTACTTCATTGTCCTCCCTTATGCATTCTTATGCGTTCTAAATAGCCCTAGCAGACTTTGCGTGAGACTGATGACCCGGGCCCACCAGTTCCATGGTCGACGTCGAGGGTCTTGCTCAAAGTCTCCAGTGTCACCTGGTCGGCAAAGTCTCTCAAGCCCAGTTCGATCACGTCGCTGGTGACAATTCGATCTAAAAAACCCGTCTCGTCTCTTAAGAGGTTATCAGGCTTTACAGCAGGCTTTACTGTTCTGTTGTTTTCCATCCTTTTTCTCTTTTAGTTTCAATCCAGCTGCGCCGGATTGGGCTTTAGGTGGTTCCAGTCCGTTCCAGGCTGTTCCAGTTGCGATCGAAACCTTGGGTACAGGTGTTCTTTGATTCTGATTCAGGTTTGAGTTCAAAAGGACGGAAGAGGACGGACCATGAACCTATAGCTTCTAGCCTCAAGTCAAGGAGCCAACAGGTGTAAATCTCATGCAGAGAGAGAAAGAGAGAGAGAGAGAGCGGATAAACAGTAAAAAGATCATAGCACACGATGTAGATGTGACATAAACACGTGTGCTATGATCTTAGACATAAACACGATTTAGATGTGACGTTTGTTTTACGTTTCGATACGTTTCGATGTGTTTTAGGTTTCACCTGTCTGTTTTCTGCCCTCTGGGTCGCTGCACGACAGGTTAGTAGCTCCAGGAGCGCTTCCTGGAGCGAAGGACCGGAGCGCGATCACACCATCGAAGTGTCGTGGTCCCGTCCGGTCCTTCGTTCCCAAACAATTCAAACAGGGAGAACGAAGCGTATCCACTTTCGAACTCATCAACTGTGTCAAACTCCGCCTGCAGCTGATCGTACCAACCATCATCTCTCCTAGAGAACAAAGCAAGCTGCAACCACTTGTGATGACCAGTAGGGGCCAACTGGGTGTTTGTGTTTGAGGTGAATCTGCATCGAGCGACAAAGCTCAAACAAACTGCGACTTTCAGCACATGCCAAATCCAAAGCGCAAAAGGAGTCGAGTGTTTTTCATTGGGTAGTTATGCTAGTTGCGCTGCTTTGATCTCGGACCTGCTACTCTTTCTTGGCATCACAAACAAACACCTGAGCAGGGACGGTTTGGCCATGTGGTTGCATCGCCTTTCAATCTTGACTGCAATTCCGTGTTTATATGAAAAAACACTAGATTAGAGAAAAATAAAAACACTTTGGCTTCTCAGAATTTCGTATATCGAGTTTCTTCTTTCATTCACTGAAACCGTTTTAAACAAAAATAATGCTTTATGCACTCGAACTGAAGACTGAAATGCAACAATTGGTATTGCATAGGCTGTAAGTGGAAGGCGGGTAGAGCATATTCAAGAGCTCATGGTAACAATACTGTGGCACCCCATGAAACGGCTTTCGTTGAAATCACTGTAGTGATTGTTCACCCTTGTGCGACAAAGGCACAGACAAACCCATGGAGAGAATTGTCCGTCTCGAAACTTGCACCAACCGGAAACTTATTAGAAGACTGATATAGCAATTGGTATCATGGGCCTAACAAAAGAAAAATTGAAAGAAATAAATAAAGAAGGACAACCTAATAGCGATGGCCTCCAACCTAGAAGAGAGAAAGAAGGAAGGAAGGAAGGAAAGAAAGAAAGTGCTGGGTAGCATGCATGTTGGTAGCAAGGATGCTGTCAAAGGCCCTCAGGCCGCTGCAGGTCTCGCGATGTCTCCAGATGCTTTGCTGGAGACGGCACGGTGCAAAATGCGCTTAAATTAGCTGCCCGTGGCAGCGGAAGCTGATTTGTTCAACAGTTGTTCCATTGTTCTCTGTTCCACAAGATAGGGTTGGCTCTAACTTGCTACGTGATGGAGTTGACATCCAAACAGGTGGCGTGGGTACAGTGGGCATGGCCATGGCCGTCGTCTATTTTGAGTTCCTATGAAGCCTGAAGCAATTGGTTCCAGCGCTCTTTTTTCGTTCAGCACCGCCGCTGAATCAAGGTTGGGTTGACAAACAGAACTTGCAACAGGGTCACCATTGCCTTTTCCAATACTGCAAATCTGCCCGACATTCCTTTCAGCTTTGACTTTGACCGAGCCAAAACAAACGTCGTCTTTTAAGCAAGCCTTTACACTTCTCATCTCCAATCTACGGGACCCACTTAGGTCGAAAACTACCGCAGTCAGAAATGATCAGAAAGGCCCAATGATTCGAAGAAAATGAAGGGAAGATTAAAGTGACAATTAAGGCAATTAAGTGTAGCAAGAAGCATCAAGAAGCTATATACTAGGTTGGAGGCCATCGCTAGGTTGGGTAAGCTATTAGTAACAAGTGCCACGCTAGTAGTAACAGGTGCCTTACTAGTAGTAACAATAAGCTATTAGAAACAATAAGCTATTAAGGAAAGTCTCGAGTCTCGAGATGCCTCGAGATGCGTCTCTGGATGTCTCAACATGTCTCCAGTCTACGAACAAGTTCTCTCCATCCCAGTTCTGATCACAATGACAAGCTGGAACTGCCGGGGTTGATTTAAATGCACTCAACCTCCACTTGCAGCAAGTCGCAGTCCCGTTCTATACACATCTGCAAGCACCCTCACCGAGTTTCAGTGGCAAATAGTGGCAATGACTCTGGACTTACATGAGAGCTTTGCTGCTTTTTCCACCTTATTGAAGACGGACGAAACTCTGGTGAAGAACCTTGCATCAAAACAAAGACTTGGTGGTTGCAAATACCATGCTAGTTAACAGCCGTGAACTGGCTGATTTCACCTTCACTCGTGGCCTCGCAAAAAAGCTCCACAAATGACCAGCTGTGGCGCACTTGCAAGCTGATGAGACAACAATATTGCTCAACCAGTCTAGCTTCTTTACGTGTCCCCCCAAGGGTTTTTCTTTAAGTTAGTTGACCTGGAAGATCAGAACTATCGTTAGCGTTTCAAAAGTTAACTTATGAATTAACATGGCCTGTGACTGCCCTGTCTGCGGTGTTTTGGTGGACATGTGTGTGTGTGGAGATGCTAACATGTCCGTTCATGAATCTCAGCAAGCTTGAGATTAGAAAGTCTAAAAAAAAGAACATGCTAACATAGCCCATGAGGAAAATCGGCATGTAGAGTTGTTCAATGCATGTTTGGTCATTGTCAAAATCATTATGAAACCTGTTGTCCGGTTATTCCCCAGGAAATACCGCACCAGAGCTGAACATGTTAGGGACCAGTCCCAAATGCACCCCGGGACACTTATATCTGGAAGAGTGTATCTGGCCTTCCTACAGAGAGCACGACAAAAGAGAGTGTTTCCCCTGAAATCTTGCAGCGCATCTGCAAGTGTGATTAATGCAGCCTTTTAATTCAAGCCGCACAAGAATGCCCACGCGCCTGAACACTACTCAGGGTCGGTCTTTTCCTTTCAGGTAAACACAACCCTACCATGAAACTGCATGGACTGGTAGCATTTTGTGGTAAACTGGACACAAAGTCTGCAGGACATCAAAGGACGCTGTTACTTGAGAGACTACACAGGCTCTGACAGTCCTCGTGCTCTTCACTTCTGGCTTGCATCTTTTTTTCCTTAGATGCGCTTCGCAATATTCATCTTTGTGTCGACATTCGATAAGGTGGTGTCCAAAATCTCGTCTGACAGCAAAATTATGTTGAGGATTCAAAGAAAATTTACATATTCTATATATTCTCTTCTCAGGAATTTCACGGTTTCATGCATTGCCAAGCTGGCAAGTCCCAAGTGCAGCCTGAAATCGTAGATCTCGAGGATGGTTGTTAACCTAGTCTTTGCAAACGCAAAGCTGGCAACTCGAGTCAGAGGAAGTAGAAAGGCAGTGGACATGCCTAAATGATGCCAAATTTATGAACCTTTAGAATCATGTAGGAGAAATAAGTTACTTGTAAGATCTAGTAAGGCTAGTGACGCCGACCTAAGACCACTGGAGCTTGGTGCAGAAGTCTGACCTAACACGTGCACACTCTGATTAGGTCTCTTCGGGGCAGGAAACGTATCACACGTTGGATAATTAGTACAGGTGGCAAAGACCTTGCTACCTTTCTTAGGAGCAAGGATTTCTTAGGAGCAAGGACGCTACTAGGTGGAGGCCATCGCTAGTAGGTTGGAGGCCATTACTACTAGTAACAAGAATTGTCCTTCTTTCCTTTCTTCTTTTCTTCCTATTCCTATTCCTTCCTGGGCCATTCAACTTCTCCTCCACGGCACCGCTTCTCAGGATCTTCTCGGAAGGTCTCACCGAAGCAAAGCTCGTAACAAATGCGTGGAGGCAGATCTGCCAGACCTCGCGAAGACACAAAAGCAACGTCGTACAAAATAACAAAAAAAGTCATGAGCCATCATCTCTAGCTGCAACTTCATCATCCCAGAAGCCCATGCACCAGAAAACGAAGGCTGGGCAGCTAGGCCCATCAGAACCTGTTGCGGTCAACACATTTGATGAAAAAGAAAGAAACCAAAGAAAGACAAACAGAGGTCCAAAGAAAACAAAGAGAAAGAAAAAGGAACAAAATCTTGCTGAATGGCCCGTTGACCTACCTCTTTTCCTAATGAATATTTTGCCATGTCTTACGGACATCACGTCAGCATTCCTGTCCTTGGCTCAGCTAGCAAGTTCTGAACGAAGAAAATTTCACTGTTTCTGCGACCCATAAACATCAGTTAGGGAACCATCGATGTCAGGCATGGGCCCCAACCTTAGGCAAGCCAATTAACAACCGTAAAGGCGTCTGAGGATGTGTGAGACTGGAACCAACAGCCCTGGCTAGGACAATACTCCAACATCCGCCAATGAATATCCTGTAAAAGTCAAAGTTGTCACCAACTGACGGATTGTCAATCACAATTGAGGCTGTGGCTGTGCTTCCAATCTGGCTTGATCCTGTCACCAAACAACGACACGTGTCTTGGAATATTTTTGAACATCTTGGACAATTTTCTGAATTTGTTGCCTTTATCTTTTCAAGTGGATGTGTGTGTGTGTGTGTCAAGTCTTGTTCCTAAGGACCTTTGACACAACTCTTTTAACTTGTACAGTTCAGCAGGGGGCACGGCGACCGTTCACCTAGCCGTACTAACAAAGCTGTGGTGTTCGGTTGGATGAGATACTGGAGGCAGTATCTTGCACCTGCAAATGTTTGATCCTTCCTCCCTTCTTTTTGAACTGTGGACTGACTAAGCTGTGACTTTCCTTTTCGCGTGAAGTTCTAGTGCATCCTTGTTGAAACATTCTGCTTGACAGACCCAGTACTCCATGCCGTTCACTCAAGTCCAGGGCTAAGTATTCACTTAAAGTGCTAGCTTAATTGATTTAGCTCTTGCGAGCACAAATCTAAATGTGTGTGTGTTACCGCAACACCTGGAGAATCCAAACGCGATACAAAAAGCTTTTCACACCTTTGTATGCCACGTGAAACCACTTCGAGCTGCACGACAAGTGACAGAAAGGATCGAAAAGGCAGCCCGCACTAAGGGTGGCCTGCGCAGCGACCTTCTTCAAGAGGCCTTCCACAGCCTTTCGGAGGCGCTTTGCCTTTGCTGAGACCTGGAAATATGTCCGCACCAAAAGAACACACCTCACCCTAGTAGCGATGGCCTCCACCCTAGGAGCGATGGACTCCAACCTAA